CCTAAACTAAACACAACACGAGAAGGAAAGATCTCACCCATGTCTCTTGAAGAAAGAATAAAGCAACCATGGAATTTACCGTGTCTCCACATGTCGCTTCCAATTTCTTCCAAGCTACAAGAGAGAGAAAAAAAAAAGAAAAACAAGACAAACACTACAAAGAAAAAGAAGTTAGTACTAAAGAGAGAGAGAAAATCCATGAACTCAATCATTTGGGTTTGACCTACTACCCAAACATACCATCATCAAGAAATCATCATCATTATCATATCATCATCATTATAGAAATGGACATCATAGACACCAAACAACAACAACAATGCTACCAACACACTTAAACCCAAACCCCTTAAAAAGTCCCATGAGTCCTAGGTGCTTTTCCCCCACACTTAACTAAAGCATTCCCTACACTCTCCTTTGACTCAAACACCCCCCCACACTAGAGTAAAAGGGAGGGGCAACGAAGGGAGGGAACAAAAAGAACATGGGGGAAACTAATGGCCACTAGGGCCGGCACCATCGTTATCCGCATTCCAACTGTCATAAGAGAAACCCGAGGGGGGCCCATAGGGGTCCCAACCTCCGAAGTAGCCAGGTGGCCACCCATAATGGCCTTTAAAGAGGTCAAGTTGGGATGCGGATAATTGGTCATATGGTTCGGGTTGGACAAGGGGTGCAGGGTGAGAGGGATCGACATAGGGGTAGTTAGGATCACCCCTGTAATAACTCCCACCCGAAACCCAGTAATCATAATGACCGGACTCATCAGGGAAATCGCGCCGAGGCACATTAGGGTTTGAAGACCCTTGCCAATAGGGGTACGTAAGTTGGTTGTCATCCCCCCAAGATGGCATGGGCCCTTGTTGGGCCGGCACATATGGGTAGTTGACCGAGGAGGTGACATCTCCTCTACGTACACTCAAATCATACAAAGCGTTGGTTTGGTAAGAAAGGTGTTGGTGGGAAGCAAACATACCTTGCATGCCAAGTAGCATGCTTTCCATTTGTGCCCGCATTGCTTCCATTTCCCGTTGGTAGCCGAGATGAGCGTGTTGTTGTTGTTGTTGGCTACTTTCTTCTTGTTGTTGTTGGTCCCTAAAAGGGGAAACTCTTATCACCTCTTCATCTTCCTCTGGCCCAAAACCTTCTCCGGAGTTCTCACCCAATTCCATCCTAGCACTAGGGAGGATTCCCGAGTCTTTCTTGACCCACCAAGGGTGACTAACCCCTTCCCTCGTGTGGGAAGTGAACCTTGGCTTAGGGAGGAAGCAATGATGCTCATGTGAAACAAGTAAGCTCCAAGTTCGTCCTTGATCCTCAGTATTGGCGATGAATTTCATGGTCTTTAACTGATCGAGGTCAAGCCAAAATGTTGCTCCCATCACTCTTCCCCACGGGGGTGCAATACTCCAATTTATCACTGTGGCCCAACTTCTCAGCCAACCTAGTAATCATCCCCCCAAAGTGAATCTCCCCCTTCTTTGTGCTCGAGAGGACACCATCACTTTTCCCCAAATCCTGCTTGTTGAAGACCATATAACCAAGCAATCTATGTAGAAGGTGCATGGCTGGGTGCATAATTTGGCTGGCTAGGGAATATTTGGAGTTGAAGGCATTCAATCTTGTAAGGACTTTCCACCAATGAAGGGGCTCATAATCATAGAGTCCCGCATGCTTTGGGAAGAACATATCGGCATCTGGTTTAAGGTCTAACAGTTGGTTAAACTGTCGAAGGGAGAAGGTTTCTTTTTTATTGAATAGCTGGAAAGAGATGGTGAGTTCCCGATTTCCGACGGCATGACATTCAAAAGAGGCAAGGAACTCAAGGGTTGGCTCTTTGTAAGTTCGAAAGGCATTTGTCATGAAGGAGCCTAGCCCGAGGTTGTTGAACAAGAACCAATAATCCTCGTCAATGCCGAGTTTGGTAGTGGTAGGTTGATGATAGTGTTTAGTTGGTCTCAATTTTCGGTTTTGAAGGTTATCATATCTAGTTTTGTGATTCTTGTCGTGAAATTTGATGGGTGGTAGTGGTGGGTTGGGTTGCTCAATTGGGTTGGGGCTTGGGGATGATGAACCTTGTGGTTCTTTCCCGCTCTTTCTTTTCTATGAACCGAACACCATATTTACCCACAAAAATATGCAAGCACCAAGAAAATCACCTCACAATTTACACCAATAACCAACTACAACAACTTCCAAAACCAATCGAATACCACAAAGAACACTTCCAAATAATCACCAAGAACAACTCATAACCGAGAAATCTATAAGGAGAGACAACTATAACAAACAACAACTCAAAAATCAATAATGATTAAGATGATAGATGAGCATAAAAAAGGAGTACAACCATCAAGAATTTCAACATGAAAATTCACAAATATGAAGTTTTCTCCAACAAGCATACACTTCAAATTCAAAGGAAATAGAGAGTAAGAAAGAAATGTATACAAACAATTAGTTCTAATGAGTACTCCTGCTAGCCTTTGAAGAAGAAGAGAAGCCCACCTCCAAGAAGTAGAAACCAAATCCCACACAAGGAGTAGAACCGAAATTTTGGGGTTTTTGATGGTGAAAATTCAGATTTTTGTTGAGAAACTTCAAGTAGAGTGATGAAATTTGATGAATTTTGATGATTTTGGGGAGGGATTTGATGCAATTTGAGCTAGGGTTTGAAGAGGAGTGAAGGGTAGAGAGAGAGAGAGAGAGAGGAAAAATCTGAAAATTTGGGGGAAATGGTTTCGGAAATAAAGAGATGAAGCCCGATTAAAATCGCAGAAACCGCAGTGCCGCGCCCGCAAGGGTTCAAGTCGCGCCCACGGGTGGGCATCTCCCAGCCATCTCCACCTTGTATGCTGAAATTTGCTGAAAGCCATACGCGCCCGCGGCGATCGAAGGCTGCGCCCGCAGCTTATGGCTCCACGCCCTCTCCTGGGCATCTCCCAGGCATCTCCCCCTTCTCAACATTTTAGCATCAAGAAAGGCCGCGCCCGCGGGCCTTGATGGAGAGTCCTCTCCTGGGCATCTCCCAAGCATCTCCACCTTCTTCTCATCCAAACTCCTTAACACATTCAAATCAAAATTGTAGGCCATGTACTCAAAGATTCAAGCACCTATATGAAAAGCAAAACACACACCATAAGAGAACTAAGGAAAATCATCCAAAAATAATCAAACACAAAAAAAACACAAAAATCAAAAGAGTTGAAAACTCGGGTTGCCTCCCGAGAAGCGCTTCTTTAAAAGGTCATTAGCTTGACCATAACACATCATCATCAAAAGGGCGGCTTTGGATCCGAAGGATCAAGCCTCATGCTCTCAATTACACCCACTTGATCATTGCAATGATAGAGCTTCAAACGGTGCCCAATGACCATAAACTTGTTCCCCTCCGCTTCCAACTTAAAGGATCTGTATGGAGTAGTTCTCGAAATTGTGAAGGGCCCCGACCACTTTGACTTAAGTTTACCGGGAAATAAACGGAGCCTAGAGTTGAACAACAACACCTTGTCTCCAACTTTGAAGCTCTTGTTCCTTATATGTTGGTCATGCCATTTCTTAGTCCTCTCCTTGTAAAGCCTTGAGTTTTCATAGGCGTCATACCAGAGCACCTCAAGTTCATTAAGCTTAAGCAATCTTTTCTCACCCGCTAAGGTCATATCCATGTTGAGCTCCTTGATCGCCCACCAAGCCTTATATTCCAACTCAACCGGCAAATGACAAGCCTTCCCATACACCAACCGATAGGGGGTCGTGCCTATGGAGGTTTTGTTTGCCGTCCTTAGAGCCCAAAGTGTGTCATCGAGCTTGAGAGACCAATCTTTTCTAGACTTGTTCATCATCCTCTCAAGAAGGTTTTTGATCTCTCTATTGGACACTTCCACTTGTCCTTGAGTTTGAGGGTGGTAAGGTAGACCAACCTTGTGATGAACTCCATATCGCTTGAGGAGAGCTTCGAGTTGTTTCTTGGCAAAATGAGAACCACCATCGCTAATTAGAACTCTCGGAACCCCGAATCGCGGGAAAATAGTCTTCTTAAGAAGCTTGAGCACAACCTTGTGGTCATTGGTGGGGGAGGGTATAGCTTCGATCCATTTGGTCACATAGTCCACCGCCACCAAGATATAGAGATTCCCACAAGAGGAAACAAAGGGCCCCATAAAGTCGACTCCCCAAACATCAAAGGGTTCAACCTCCAAGATGTTCTGCTGGGGCATTTCATCTCTTTTGGTTATGCCCCCACTTCTTTGGCATTTGTCACACCTTGAAACGAACTTATGGGTGTCTTTGTGCATTTTAGGCCACCAAAGAAGAGATTGGGAGATCCTTGCCATGGTTTTTTCAACTCCTCCATGCCCTCCACACGGCATTAAGTGGCAATGTTCAATAACTCCTTCTATCTCGTGATCCGGAACACATTTCCGAAAGAGGCCATCTCCACATTTCTTGAACAAATAAGGATCATTCCAAAAGTACCTCCTCACTGCTTTGAAAAATCTCTTCTTTTGTTGAGAGGTAATCTCCGGGGGAACAACTCCACATGCTAGATAGTTGGCTATGTCAGCGTACCAAGGGCTAGATGTTGAAGCCATAGCCATGAGGGTTTCAAATCCCACCTCATCATTGATAGGAACATCTTCCTTATTCTCAAAAAGGAAGCCTAGAAAAGTGATCCGCTACATAGTTCTCCGCTCCCTTTTTATTTCTCATCTCAATATCAAAATCTTGTAGCGAAAGAACCCAACGGATAAGACGTGGTTTGCTTCCTTTTTGGTCATGAGATAACGAACCGCTACATGATCCGTGTACACGATCACCTTGGAGCATATAAGGTAGGATCTAAACTTATCCATGGCAAAGACAACCGCTAGCATTTCCTTTTCCGTTGTGGTATAATTCCTTTGAGCTTCGTCAAGCGTTCTACTTGCATAATAGATGACACTAGATCTTCCTTCTTTCTTTTGTCCAAGCACGGCACCTACTGCAAGATCACTAGCATTTCACATTAGTTCAAAGGGAAAGCTCCAATCCGGAGCTTGCACAATAGGAGAGGAGATTAGGGCTTCCTTGAGTTTTTGAAACGCCTCAAAGCAAGCCTCATCAAAGCTAAATACAACATCCTTTTTGAGCAATTCGGTCAACGGCTTGGCAATTGATGAAAATTTTTTGATAAACCTCCAGTAAAAACCGGCATGCCCTAGAAAGGCTCTTACTCCAGTAACGGAAGTAGGAGGGGGCAACTTGGCAATCACCGAAACCTTTGCCGAATCAACTTCTATGCCCTTTTTTGATACTTTATGGCCTAGGACTATGCCTTCGTCGACCATAAAGTGGCATTTCTCCCAGTTCAATACCAAACTCGTCTCTTGACACCTTTTCAAAACTTTCTCAAGATTATAAAGACATGTTTCAAAAGACGAGCCACCAACACTAAAGTCATCCATGAAAACTTCAATTTTATTTTCAAGCATTTCAGAAAAAATGGAAGTCATGCATCATTGGAAAGTTAAGGGAGCATTGCATAACCCGAATGGCATTCTTCGGTATGCAAATGTCCCATATGGACATGTAAAAGTAGTTTTCTCTTGATCACTCAAATGGATAGGAATTTGGAAAAAGCCGGAATATCCATCCAAAAACAAAAGAAAGCATGATGGGAGAGTCTCTCCAACATTTGGTCCATGAAGGGGAGTGGAAAATGATCTTTCTTAGTGTTTTTGTTCAACTTCCTATAGTCAATGCACATCCTCCACCCGGTCACCGTCCGGGTGGAGATTTCCTCTCCTCCTTCTCCCTTGACAATGGTCATTCCACCCTTTTTTGGAACCACGTGAACCGGGCTAACCCACTTGCTATCGGAGATAGCATATATTATACCCGCTTCACGCAATTTCAAAATTTCTTTCTTGACAACCTCTTGGAGGTTTGGGTTCAACCTCCTTTGAGGTTCAATGGAGGTGGATTGATCATCCTCAAGGTGAATACGATGCATGCACAAAGAAGGGCTAATACCCTTGATATCATCAATGTTATACCCTATCACATTTCTATATTTTCTCAAAACAACAATCAATATTTCCAAATCAAGACCATCAAGGGAAGCATTGACAATAATAGGATATTCCCCTTCATTTCCAAGATAAGCATATTTCAAAGAAGGGGGAAGGGGTTTGTTTTCTACTTGGGAGGAGACTTAGGAATCTCCTCCAATTTTTACTCCTCAAATTCTAGCTCATCATGCTTAGAATCACTTGCTTCCTCCTCTTTGGCTTCTTCAATGGCCATGGCAAACTCCTTTGCTTCTTGAGAGAAGTACTCTTCCTCACATGTGAGAGCTTCAATCATTGGATCTTGAGGACTCATCATAACCCTTCCCAAACGATCTAGCTCTTCATTGACAACATCAACCCTATAGCACCTCTCAACCATGGGGGTCTGGAGTAGCCTAGAAAATTCAAGGACAATTTTTTCATCGGCTACCTCACATGTAATGGTATTGTTCTTGCAATTGATTACCGCCCCCAAGGTCTTAAGAGCTTCACGGCCCAAAATCAAAGGTGTATCCACATCTTCTTCCATATGCATCACTACAAAGTCACAAGGCACATAGATATGCCCAACTTGAATAGGGACATCTTCAAGCTCACCACAAGGTAGCTTCACCGAACGATCGGCCAATTGAATGGTTTTCCTTGTGGGGATCATCTCAATGTTAAGCTTTTGAGCAATGGATAGAGGGATCAAACTAACACTTGCTCCAAGGTCGCCTACGGCACCCCTAGCTTCCATGTTCCCAATCTTGACCGTCAAGGTAAAGCTTCTCGGATCCTTTTTATTCTTGGGCATTTTGTGTTGAACAAGTGCACTCACTTGATGGGGAAGAGTGATAAGCTCATCATTGAGCTTCCTCTTGTTGGTGAGAATGTCTTTCAAGAACTTAGAGTATGAAGGCATTTGTGTGACTACCTCAATGAAGGGGAGGTTTATGTGCAAGTTCTTCATCACACTTAGGAACTTTGCAAATTTTTCATTCAATTTTCTCTCCGCAAGTCAACCGGGAAAAGGAACCGGTCCCTCAAGATTTCTAGATTCACTAGAAGTTGAGGATGTTACCACATCCTTAGACTTATTTTTCTCCATACTCCTCTCTTTCTCATCATTCTTCTTCTCTCCAACTTCCTCTTCTTCACCCACAACCTCTTCTTCTCCCTTCTTTTCTTGACTAACTCCCTTCTTAGGACCCTCATAGGATGCGCCCGATCTCAATGTGATTGCTTTGCAAGAGTCGGGTTTCACAATGTTCGAAGGGTTAGTTTGTGTTTGTCCGGGTAGAGTAGATGGCGGGTTGAAAGGAACCCTCTCGCCCAATTAAGCTAGTTATGAATCAACCATCTTGTTGTGGGCCTGGACTTCTTGCATTTGTTGGTTCATGGCTTAAAGTTGTTGAAGAATTTGGGTTTGAGTAGAATTGGGTTGAGACACTTGCTCTTAACTTCTTTAAGTTGCTTGGTTTTGATTTTGGTATTGGTGTTGGTTATTTTGTTGATGGTTCTTTGGGTAGTTTCCCCTTGGGTTTTGGTTTTGGTATTGGTTTTGTTATGGAGGAGGGTTTTGGTATTGGGGGTTGGAATTGTATGGTTGTTGAGCTTGTTGGTTCCATTGTTGGGGTTGGTTTCCAAATCCGGGTGGTGGTTGTCTCCAAGCTACTCCTCCTCCATTTCTCCTAAATCCTTCTTGCCTTGTGTTGTATGCTGCTACATGCTCCGGGCTTAAACCTCCACAATAGGATGTGTCATGTTTGTACCACCACAATTTTGACAAGAGAAAGAGTTGACTTGGGAGGAGCTTGCACCACTAGTGACATTGGTGTTCAACTTTGCGAGCCCCTTTGTCAAAATCTCAATTTGATGTTGCAACTGATCAACTTTTTCCAACTCATATTTTCCACCTTTCTTTGGCGCATTCCCCCTTCTACCTCCCCAAGAGTAGTTTTTGACTACCTCTTCAATTGTTGCTTGAACTTAATTTTGAGGGACTTTGATCAATTGTCCACCCGCCCCCGCATCCAAATTAGCTCGAGACATCGGTTCCAAGCCATCATAGAAGAACCTCATGAGTAAGCTTTGATTGTATTCATGGTGAGGACATGCTTGCACCAACTCTTTAAACCTCTCCCAAGCTTCACTAAGGCTTTCCTCCGCCTCTTGTTCAAAAGATGCAATCTTCCTCCTCATGTCGGCGGTTTTCTCTTCGAAAATGAACCTTTTCAAAAATGCTTGGACAATTTCCCTCCATGTTGTGAGAGAATTAGGATTGACTTGCTTGAGCCACTTCTTTTCCCTCCCCGCAAGAGATTGTCGGAATAGGTGCATCCGAATGTATTCTTGAGAAACTTGGTTGGTTTGTATCATGGCACAAAGTTAAAGAAATCTATTAAGATGCTCAATGGGGTCTTCACTTGGCGAGCCTGAGAATTGCTCCGCTTGAACCATTCGAGTGTATTGAGGATGGATGGTGAAATTAGTTTCCGTGACGGGTAGCAATATCCCACCGGTGAGCTCATAATCCTCCGGATTACCGAACTCACGAAATAAAACATCCGCTTGTGGTCCCACCATTTCATTTCCTTGGGAATGTGAGGACCCAGAATCACTTTCACTATCAAAAATGGCACCAAAACCTCGCCCCTCTTCTTGATAAAGTCTACGGACTTGTCTCAAGGTGCGGTCGATTTCGTGATCAATGTCATAAGTAGGTGGTCCTTGAGATCTTCTTTTCATTCACCAAAGCTAAGAAAACAATTAGCAATGACTAGCAAGTGAAAAAGAACAATACAAAAAGCAACAAATCCAATAATAACACAAATTAAAAGTGCAAAACAAGTCGTTTCCCCGGCAACGGCGCCAAAATTTTGATCGTTGAACAATAGGTCGTGAGTATACTATCTTAGATAAAAATTACAATTTATATCTCCTAACCTATCTCTATCAAAATTACTTGAGATAGTTGTAAGGTAGGGTCGATTCCCAAGGAAACGGGGGTTTAGCACAATTAATAGATATCTAGGATAAATTGCTAGTAACAAATAGGGTGTTGAGATGTAGGCATGAGAAGTCCTATAGACAAACTATCAACTAATGAGTCTAGTATAAGCTAAAAACAAGGGATAAGAAAAAGCACTTCTATATGCAAGTAAAAGGATTAGATTTAAGAGATAACAATGACAAAAGCACTAGGGAGAGGGGGATTCAATCATGAACAATGAATATTAATGAAAACCGATAAGCTAATTCTAGGAGTATAAACTCTACCTAAGATAGTTCATTCTCATGCAACTACTCAAGCAAATTGATGAAATCATTCACACCTAGATTAAATCATTCTCATGCATTCAATCAAGGGCTAGACTCTTGGGATTAGAGGTGCACACACTAACTCCAAGCATATTTTAGCTCAAATCATCAACTCAAGAATAAATCCCAATCAATAATCAATAGATAATAAAATACACATGATTTTCACCCCCTTCCCTAGCTAAAAACCTAAGCTAGAAGAAAAGGAATAGCCATGACAACTAACATAAGCATATATTCGAAATCAACACAACCTAACATGAACCAAGAAAATCAAAAACTAGAGAAACAAAAGTAAAGATTGATATTATAATGATGAAAGATTACCAAATCATCAAAGTAGTAGCGACAATCTAGAAGAAAGCTTGAATATTTGATTACAAAGATTAAACCATGAAGGATAATTGTTTTTCTCTCTCTAGAAAACCTAGATTTTCTCTCTCTAAGTAATGTTTTTTATGCTAATGGAAGAGTGTCCTTAAAATTCAAGCCAAGAGGTATTTATAGTCTTCTCTAAAATAAGGAGAAATGGGCAAAAGAGAGGGCTCTCCATCCAACAGTCGCGCCTTCTCCGAGCTGGGTGCGAGCTGCGCCAGTCCCGCAGTGCCACGCCCGCGGGGTAAAGTGTCGTGCCTGCGGCCTCCTCTCCGTGCTCACGGCTAGCCATCTCTTAGGCATCTCAGAAAGTTTGGATTGCTCGCTTGAAGCCCTGTCCGCGCCCGCGGCTATCTTCCCCGCGCCCGCGGCCCTTCGCTGCTGCGCGCCCTCTCCTTCCTGGCATCTCCACTCCTCTAGCAAGCTTCCTACCAACACTATTTCAACAATTGATCGAAAAATCGCCCGCGAGCGCTAGGAACTGTCAAAACACACGAAAAAGGAGTGAAAGTAGAAGAAAATACAAAAGAAAAGGGAAAACACGAGAGGGAGCTAAAGTAACTCAAATCGAGATAAAATGAGTAAGAAAAGGCATAAGCAAGTGACTATTCCGGGGGAAATCTCTAATGAAATAGGGTAAAATGGTGGCATAAACGCCACACATCAGTCTGCTGGGCTTGGGCTTCTCTGGCCCTACCCGGCACCTCTTCGTCCGTCTTCTCATCCCCTATGTCGGCCCACTCCTCGAAGGGCGCCAGCTGCTGAAGAACGAGTACTTTAGCATCAAATACCTCTATTGCGTATTTGTACCTCAAGTCAAAGAAAGCATAGTCGGTGTCCGGGTGGTTCATGGACCATGCCATCTTCATGCGTGCTTTGCAGCCACGCTCATTCTTGATGACCAGCCGGCTCTGTTCAGCCGAAAGCTGGTCCAGATGCTCCTTCTTGGTCCTTACGTCAGCCGGCTCTGACCGGTTGGCTGTATCAGCAGCAGCCGTCAACTCCCGGATGAGTTCCTCCTGTTTCATCTCCCGGGCTTTAGTTTGGATTTCAAGCATTAGGGAGTTATAATGACAGACATCAAGTAATTCGACTGCCCGTCTTTGAGCATCCCTTACCTCCTCTTGCTTCTTCCGCAAGGGGGTTTTTAACCCTTCAACCCTCAACATTACCTGCAATGTCAGCCAGAAAAGAAGTCAGTTCAGTTATATAACAACCGGGAATGAGAAAAATTGCCCAAAAGTACCCCATCCGTCAAATAGCAAAGTTGCCGAAAAGTACCCAAACCGGTATATTACCTCAGCCAGCAGTGAGGTAATGCGGTCAATATTGACCTGGTGGACACCCAGTATCGTGTCCTCCTTGGACCGGGTGAGGGTCCTCAGCATTCTCTTGGCGTAATTTTGCATATCCGGCCAACGAGAAGTAGTATCTGCATCATGAGAGATATTTTTTAAGTGTTGGGCATAAGCGGCTCTTATATTCAGCCGACTTTCAGAAGAATCCCCCGACTGAGAAGCTTGGGACTTGACTCGAACAGGCCCAAGCGGCCAGGGGGGGTCAAAAGGGAAATCCGTACCTTTGTTTTCAGGCTAAGGGGTGAGACCACCCGCAACCGCATTTGAGTCGGATGCAATAGCAAGCACCCGGCCAGAAGGAACCTCAGGCTCCTTAGATCCGGCCTCAGCCGGCCCTGAGCTT